GTCTTGTTCTCTTTCACACATACACACTCACATACACACACACACAGTTCATGTGAAAAATCAGTGAAATCTTAATATGGTTTGTATTCAGTTTAAAATATTGTGCAAATGTTAATTTTCTGGTTTTAACAATGTATGTTGGTTTTGTAAGGTGACATCAATAGGGAAAAAGAAGAAAGAGTGCACTAAAACTATCCACATTACTTTTTTGCAGCTTGTTATGAATTTTAAATATTTGCAAAATAAAAAATATTTGCAAATAATTTAGACGTAAAATTATAATCATGCTTTAGGTTTTGATGCCTATTTCCATTTATGATGTAATTTGAAAAAAAAAAAGCTGTATCTCTTAACAATTTTCTTTTTTTAAGAGAGTAAAAAAAAAAGAAAAAAGAAAAATGATACAGAATTTTACTAAACAAGATGATGGGAATTCAATAGTGGTTGTTATATTGTTGTCTTCAGGTTGTTCAGATTACCAGATATAAGCTTGAAAAATTGGTCAAAAAAATTAAAAAGAAAAAAATTAAGCATTAAATGTTCAGTAGAAATCAGCAATACAATTATGCAAGCTATCCTGTGTATATACAAATCTACTGTTCCCCTTCCTTCCTTCCTTCCTTCCTTCCTTCCTTCTTTCCTTTCTCCTTTTTCTCATCCCAACTGCTCCTTTCCTTTGAGCAATTTCTTTCCCTTTCACAGTACATATTGTATCTTTCAAGTTTTATTTACTTTTTAAGATTCTTATACTAAGAAGACAATTTCACACTTGCAAATCTAATGCTAGTTGTACTTATAGTCAAGATGCAGGCAAGAAGTGCAAGTCTGAATGTATCTTTTTTTTATTGTTTTCTAGCAAAGAAGCAAATCCAGTACTGGAACCTTATGTAAGTGGCATAATTCTATGGGTCTTGATTAAAGGAAGACAAGAATTTATGTCAGCTTCCCTATGAATACTGAGTTTTGCCTTCACAGTGATTGAAGTGCTATCAAAATAAAACACAAGAAAATGGTTTCCCAGACAGAAGGAGAGGGAAAGGAGGGGAAGAGCAAGGCACACAAATGCAATTAATTAGCATTATGTACCTGGACCAACTCCCAATGGTGACTAGAATAATCACATACTGAACACATGCACTAACAAAAAATAAACAAAAAGATTCATCCTTCCAAAAAAAAGAAGAACACAGATTTTCCAAATTGTACTTATGAAAGAGTCCATTTTATATCCCAATTTTATTTACCTTTTCTGCGTAGTTACAACATTAATCTACTGGGGATAATCTAGTTAGTATATTTGAAATTCCATTTATTCTTTCTATTGTTATGCATGTATTACAGTTGTATATAATACAGAATTTCCAGTGTTTTTTAAAGGACATAGTTTTTAAAAAAAAAAAAATGAGAAGCATGATCTATAATTTCAAACAAACGTAGGACAAATTCACAATTTTCCAAATAATATAGTTTTCCACTTTGTTCCAAAGAAATGAATGAGACTCTAATTGATGCAGAGACACTAACACAATAGTTACTCTTCTCTTTATGATTACATGGTCTTGAATCACTGCAAAATCCACTCAGAGCCATCTAATTAGTTGTATGCATAATTAAAACAGAGGCAGGAAGTAATTTCATTCCACAGACTTGTGGGTCAATAGATCTTAGTTCAATGTCAAAAGTACACTTTACACATTGGTCTTCAACAAATTTTACACTTTTCATCATTCTTCCTTGTAGAGTCTGGGTAATGCATTGGTCTTTGAATATGATTACAAACAAATAGACCCAGGATAGATGGGCCTTCATCACAGAAATCCACCTAAGACTAACAGGCCATGTCAGGGAGTTCTAAGAATGTAAGACATCCTCACACCCCCACCCCCAGCAGGATGGAACTTGCATAGGACACTTTCTAAAGAGTCTTCTCATCAGTCTAAAGTCAATGACACACAAAATCCTTCCCTTCACATTCCTTCCACCCATAGATTTACATAATATTATTACAGAACAGGGATGTTATTTCTATTCTTCTTTCCATCTGCATCACAAATGAAACAAAATAAATGTAGTATAAAATTATACATTCTGTAATAACTTAGAAAAAAGTACATAAATGCTTAAGGCCTTTAAATATTGATAAGACTTTTCTGTAGAACCAAAAGTCACAGATGTTAAAGCCATAAACATGTGGACAAAATACTGGCCTAAAGATTGTTTGAAGGGAACAAATATTTATAAACTTGTGAGCAAGAAGAATGAACAACTTATTCTATCAACAGACTGAACAAATATAGAAGCATTCAGACAGTCATCAGGATCAAGCAAGGGATCAGTCTTTGAAAACAAAATAGAAAGAAAGGATAGTTGAAAAAAATACTAGAAGAAATCTAAGCGAATAACATTCAGGCTAAGAAATCAGAATCTCACATGCATCCCCGGCAATTTTAAACTGAAGGCTACCTAATAATAACTTGACTGCTCCTCGTTGCTGATTTCTGTGAAGGGGGGAAAAATAAACGCACATACAAAAAAAAAAGCCCACTTTACAAAAGCAAATCAACTGAAAGGGAGGTGCAAATTATTTTATGATGAAAATGGCAATCCAGTTCTAACTAGTACGTATCTAACTGATAGAGAGCTGAAGCAACATGTTAGCCTTGGGGAAACACGTCAGCTTGTCTATACATTCTTATATGATTGATGTATTCAGGTTACTATTACTTGCCAACAATAATTATTATCAATGAATATATATTTCCATTCCTTTGACAAAAGCAACTTCAAGATGTTAAAACAGTAGGCTTTCAGAGCTCCAAGATTAGGATACAAAGAAAATTGTCTCAGTCTATGCCATGCCAGAGAATCTCACAAAGGAAATGCTGTCGAAGCTGTGTATAGTCTCACTAGCCAAAGAACAAAGGACCCAGGAACACATCCATGACAAGAGGACAGTGCACTTGGAGACAGTTTGCAGAACAAGGAAACCGGCCACAGCTTGGAGCCAGGAAGCCAAAAGGCGACTGTCTCTGACGTCGCCCTGAAAACAATGCTCCGCCAGCGATTCAGCCAGTGACTTCAAATCCTCTCAGCAACTTTACAAGCTGAGCACAGTTCCAACCGGATGAAGTCTTTATGATAGAGAAGTTCATGTCTGACTTTTTAAATGTCTTGTTCTCAAGAAGAGAGTGGTAAGGAGCCATAGAATCTCTTGGAAATAGACTCTAGGGCGCCTCTGCTGAGCAGTATAAAAATCTTCAAACTCATCTCAGGAGTTAAGTTTCAGTGTAATCAGCCGGAGAGGATCACGTGATTTATCCTTGGTTAATGGGTTACCTGTAAATTAAAGAGAAAACATAATCAACGTTTCATAATACATTATATTCTTTAAATATAATTTGCAATTAAGAGATAATTGGTACTTGCTAATATGAAATCCACTGCTGTATTTTTAAAGGACTAACATATTCAACTGTTTTCAACCAATAAAAATATACCATTTTTTTCTTATTTTACAGTATGTTTAGAGCCACTTACATAATAATTCAAATAATGACAGCTGCAAGCAGAATGATCTCAGTGACAATGATATTCATCTTAAGGTCAGAATATAATTTTGGAATCCCCTTTCATTGCATAGTCTTGGCGGAAATAACACAAAGATCATCAACACATCATGCTAGGGCTTAGAGGAGAATTACCTTTGTTCACTGAAATACAATCAGACCTTATTCTCAAGAAAGACCTTCAGTATGAGCTCTGTTATAATCATTCATAAAGTAATTTTAAAATGGAGTATATTTTTCACTTAATTATACATTGAAAAAAGTAACTATCTATAAGGACCAAAAGATAGGGGATGAAAAATAGCACAATGATTCACCAATTTTAAAAATGACTAGGAACACTAAAAAGATTGAGTAAGGTAGTAGTTCTAATGATATTTAAAGTATTAGACAAATTCCCAGTCACTTTTCATACTACAGTCCAAAGAATAATTGTATATAAGAAAAAATAATCGAGTATCTAATCTATCTTAATTATACAATATCTCCATACACCTAATATAACTAGATAGATATAGAGAAAAAACACATGGGATAGAGAAAGTAAGAAAGATAGAGATAGAGGAAGACAGAGAAATTTCTGCTGTCAATGAATTTCTAATTCTATTCACAGAACAGGAAATATATTTGGAAAAAGTTACCTAGAAATTATTCTCTAGAAAAAAAGTACATTTTCAAAAGTATGATAGACACTTTGGGTTTATTTCATTAAGTAACATATTTACTTGTCTTTTGTAAAATATTTACAAAAATCTATTGTTTGCTTGCTTGATTTTTTTTTTTTCATTTGTGCATTTGGTATAGGGTCTCACCACACAGCTCAGACACATAGGGATCCTCCTGTTTCAGCCTCCCCAGTGCTGGTATTGCAAACGTGGGCCAGCACACTGGGACTCAGTTGCTGGCCCAGCATGCCCTGGGGGTGGGATTTCACAGCACACTGGGGATTGAACCCTGGTCCCTGCACTGGCCAAAGCAAGTGCTTAGTCCGCTGAGCTATCTCACCGGCACTGATTTTATTTTCTCATCAACTTTGAAAAGGAGACATTAAACTACATAATAAGCTAGCTCTAAAGGTTGCCTTGCCACAGAGTGTGGTGGTTCACACCTTATAATTCCAGCATTTGATAGGCTGAGGCAGGAGGATCACTGGCAGTTCTAGGACAGACTGGGCTCATAGTGAACTCAAGGGTAGTCAGAACAAATGGAGAGACCCTGTGTCAAAAAATAAACAAAATCTACCTTGCCAGAGCCAATCTACCATTATATTCAAAAGAAGATATAAAATCCAAAAATGATTTTTGAGCATAGAGGCAGTCATCTTGCTGGGGCTTCTGGTCCACTAGCCTTCCCAAAGAAGGGCCTTGGCCTGTGCTTCTCAGCATTCGTCCTCCCTCACAGAGGCCCCATGGAAGAAACTGAATGGAGAAATAAACGTTACAAATACAGGAGGGACCTTTAGCGACTTTAGGATCAGGACCTGTCTGAGGAAAGGCAGCAAACTTGTTGCCAATTTATTTGCCATTCGGTGGTCATTGTACACAAGTTTATCAGGAACTTCCCAGACTAAGAATTCATGTAAGAAGGTCAGAAAGCAAAATGGCCATTTCTAAAGAAATTATCATACAGATTGCTCATGGCCATAGTTGATGATCATAAAAAATATGGAAATAGTATTTTGTGACAAGTATTCTCCATAAACTTGATGTAACACAGCCTTTCATTTCCACTGGCTGGTAGTCACCTACTTTTTCCCGAAATTTCTCTTCTTTGTAGGAAGAACATATGAAAGGGACAATGGGGACCAAGTTTCAAAACTAGTGCAGATATAAGAGGAAAATGCAGGGGAGGAGACAGAGGAGCAAATGGTTTAGCCTCAACCCAGCTGTAGTGCGGGCAACTGAGATCACATGGTGGAACCAAACTGGAGAAGCTGGGGGGCAACTGTAGGAAGGGACTGGCCAGCTTCTTGAATCACATGCTGCAGTCCATAGGTGAGTATGGTAAGTGCCTTTCTGCATCTTCACGTCAACCTTAATACTTTTTCTAGTCGTTTTAGGTCAGTCTGAGAGATCCTCTCAAACTCTCTCTGTATTTGCTTTATGTAACTCTATAAACAGCCAAATTTATAGTATGATGCCAGTTTTATGCAATTAAAACAAATTTTCCCATCTCTAGATTCACACACACACACACACACACACACACACACACACACTCACTCACTCACATAAACATATAAACACATACAAATTTATAACTCCTATCCTTAGGAACATTGGAATATCATAAATGTACACTGCTTTGATACTACGTTTCTATTGGGTAAAACAATTGCTTGGAAAGTAAAATTTTAGCACAACTAAAAGGAGTCATTAAATAAGCACAACTGAAGAATAATTAAAGTAACTTTTTCTTACACCTGAACTGTACACATTATTTTTAGATTATTAATCCTAAAAATACCATAGTACATTTTATGAGAGGAGTAGAGCATAAATCATTTCTAATGTGTAATGAAAGTGCCCTAGATTTGATTATTTTAACTGTCTGATTTTGATCAGAGGACATATTATAGGCAATCTTGCAGAGCTCTGGCATTAGATCAATGAGGCAATGATATTAACCGGAATACATGTTATCTGCAGTTTCCACCACACTGTTTACTAATAGGTAAAATGATACAGGGTTGGGCCAGTCAGATAGCTCAGTTCATTAAAGTGCCTGCTGTGCTGGCCCAGCCCCCAGGGCACACTGAGAAGGCGAATAAGACTGGACCTGGTGGTGCACACCTGTAATCCCAGCGCTTGGAAGGCTGAAAAACAAGAAGGATCGTTAGAAGTCCAATCTGTGTGATGGGACTCTATAGACCCTGTACTAAACACATAGACGGGAAAAAAGATACAGATTGTTAAATTCAAGGTTCCTATGAAGAGCCAGTATTATAATGTTTATGTAAACACTTAGCATTGTCAAGTCTACACTATGCAATAAAAGTATTGATTTGTGGAAATTTTAATGCAGAAATTTGAAACAAAATATCACTAAATGTAGAATGACAGGGTCAGCTAGCGAATTTAATTGTAAGAGGACTTCATTGAAGGAACGCGAACAAAAAATAATGACCTGCATTTTCAATGCAATATTAACATGGAAATGCAAGAACCCATGTCAGTACTGTCATTGACAACTTCAAGGTTTGTACTGAATGAAACAGGAATCCAAAACTCATCTGAGCAATACGCTGCAGCATACATAAAATGTGTTTTAGCATTCTAAAACCAAATGGAAATGAATCTATCCATATGTGTATTATCACCAAGTTAAATCACCTAATATGCAAGATTCAAATTACATTTCAAAATGAAATTAATATATAGCTCTAGACAAAACATATCAACCTCTAGTGATTTACATGTTCATTAAATAATAAGTCTAGGCAATCCTAATTTAAATCCTGGTATGCTGGTAAGGATAAAACAAATTAAATGGTGCTTAACCATGTGACGACTATAAACTGGAATGTTGTGGTATGCAAGAGTTGCTTAAGCAGTATCTATAAAATCCAACAAATTTTAGTAACTAGTTTCCATTCCATTTTCATTTAAATTAATTTTCACTGTATTTTTAAAATTTAAACACTATTCTTACACTCAAGCCATATCATTTTAGAAGAGAACAAACCATAAAATTTTACCTACGAAGGAGAACTTTTATCAAGTTTTCAGTAACTTAAAAGTAGGAGATTGTGATGAAATCAGTTACAGGAGGGGAAATAGCCATGGCTACAATGAACAGACTCTGGTTCTGGAAGCAACAGATGTAAAATACTGCCTGAGGTAGAGAAATGGTCCTGTGATTGTTATGGGTCTGCCTTGAGTATCATATGCTATAATCACTATCCCAGTAAATTTTCCTTTCCAAGTACAGTATTTCATACAGCTGGTCTCCTCTGTGTAAATCTTATTTTTACATCATGAACATAAGTCTGTTTGCTACATGAAGGCGCTGGATTGACGAACACTTGCAACTGCACAAACAATAAGAATCGCTTCTCCAGGTATAAGAAGATGGTGTCTTGGGGGCCGGGGAGATGGCTTAGTAGAATAAGCGCTTGTCTGGCAAGCTCAAGGGCTTGAGTTAAATCCCTGGTTCCACCAAAAAGAAGAAGAAGGAGGAGGAGGAGGAGGAGGAGGAGGAGGCATCTTGGCAAAAAGCCATCCGAATGTAACAGTTAATCTTCTAACATTAAACAAAAGCATTAATTTTTTCAAGATTAAAGTATGCACCCAGGGGCTGGGGAGCTAGCTCAGCAGTCTAAGTGTCTGCAAGGCAAGCACAAGAACCTGGGTTCAATCCGTGGTACCGTATGCCACTGTACAAACTACCAAAACCAGGCATAGCGGCACACACTTTCAATCCCAGCACTGCAGAGGCTGAGACAAGATCATTACAAATCGGAACTGTGTAGTGAGACCCTGTATCCAATAAATAAATAACAAAAGGTTTTTTGAAAAACTAAGTATCCACCTATATGAGGCCAATAAATCTATTATAAGGGCCTCGTTAGATTTTTCAGAAACTCATGCTAATATAATGTCTTAAATTATTCATCGATTTAGATTGAGAAAATAAAACCAGGTAAATGGCATATATATGTTCAACTTGAAATTTTGGGGAGTCCATTCTTTTGCACAGTTTTCATTATCTGTCTTGAGCATCATGAAATATCCTCTTTCTGTCTTCACATTAACAGACATTAAAAAGCTG